CATCACTGGGCTGTGATGTCACTAAATCTTTTGGGAAGACACCCCAAAGTGGAATATTTGACTCAAATGCAGTATCTAGCTTTAGTTTTTTTTTTTTTTTTTGTCTTTTTCCTTTTTATTGGTACCAGGGATCGAACTCACGACTGCCTGCTTGCAAGGCAGGCGCTTATGCCGCTGAGCTAAATCCCCAGCCCCCCCTCTAGCTTTAGTTTTTTTGGAAAACTTTATACTGATTTCCATAATAGTGGTACTAGTTCATATTTTCACCAGCAATGTAGAAGGATTCTTTTTTCACCACTGCCTCACTAGCATGTGTTATTTGTTTTCCTGTTGACAACCATTATTTCCGGAGTAAGATGTAATCTCAGTGCTGTTTTAATTTTCATTTCTCTGATGCCCAGTGAAATTGAACATTTTTTTCACGTATTTATTGGCCATTTGTGTAATCTCCTGAATATGTCTTGAAACCAAGGGCTACTTTGTATCTTCTCTGCTGCAATTTTAGCCTAATGTTTTCTCCATGGGGGAACATGCTAATCTCCCGGAATCCTTGCATTTATTCATTCTTCCTCTTCAAAGCAGGTAGCGAATGACCATTTTAAAACAGGCTGCATGGGGGCAGCCCTCTGCCCACAGCAGTCGCAGCCCCTGCCTCCTCATCTTAAGTGTGCACCCCTCCCTCATGTCTGAGCCCTGCAGCCCCAGTGGTTCCTTTCCTCCTGCGGGTGCCTCAGATGCTCCCCAGGTTATGTTCTCTGGGCTCGGCCTTCCTCCCTCTCCACCACCCTTCTCTTAGCCACTTCTCCAAACCGTAGTCTAATTTTATGTGCTAGCTCCTATAAATTTGATTTAGGATTCCTTTCTTGTTCCCTTGCGCAGTGTCTTTTTTTTTTTTTTTCTTTCAATTTTGAAAGATTGGTTCAACATTTCCATTATAAATGCACTTATGTGATCACATAGCTTTCTGACACAGATATTTGGTTCATCGCTATATGTCCAGCAACTAGAACAGTTTTTGGCATGTTGTAGACACCCCGTCAATACTTGTTCAACCACAGTGACACAGCTATGTTAGCTGAAGGGATTGTTGTAAACCAATTTTTTTTTCTTTTGACTCTATTGAACTCGAAGTATTCTTTTGATTATGATTTGCTTTCCCTTATAGCTGGACAGTTGGGAGAGAATGCACTGCCTGGGATCTATTTAGGTGACAGGTGTTTCTCAATTTAAAGACTGAAGGTCAGGTGACAACTTGGGTCCATGTACATTTTCATTCATATACATCTTCTCTGAGGTGCTAAGCAGAGCAAACTGAGCCCCCAGCCTTGAGGTCTGGTCCTGAGCTGCATTAAAGGATGAATAAATATCATCCAAGGGGATTTACTGTAAACAACTTTGCGGACTTTCCCCCAGGGGCTCTTTGGTCTCATTACCAATTTAAGTTTATCTTTCTTTCTGGAATGCCTGTACTGCATAACTTAGGCAGTACTGCCAAATTGTTGCCAGTTACTAAAGATAGAAGTTACAGAATATAGTTGTAATCATCTGCATGCACCATTTAGATTAACCAGCATAGGCTAACCTTGGGCTAGGAATTATAAGTCTTTCAATCAAGTCCTTTCCTGCAGACAGATTTTATTAGCTCAGCAAATTCTATTGACAATATAGTAATGGATCAAAGTATGAGAGAGTTGAAAGAGGATTCCTACTAAAAAAACCTTAGCAATGAGTTTATTTTCTTTCCACATGTGGAAAACTATGCTAACTGTTAAATATATATTTTCATTCATTCTCATCTTAATTCTTCAAGACATACACATGGGCTATCAATTACATCTTACAGATAAGGAAAACATAGCTTAGACAAATGTCACTGGCAGTGGCTGGGCTGGATATGACCCCGAGTCACCTGATTTCAGTTCCTGAGCTCTTCAGCACTGCATGAAGTTGTCTTCTCCAAACTTGAGTATGTGCTACCTATTTGGTGTGAACTGTTTAGTAAGACAAAAATCTCTCCTTGGAGTCTGGTTTATGTCATGAGACTCACGTTAGTGGGTCATTAAAATACATGTTTGGATATCATTTATGAATTTATTCAATAAAAAAATTTTAAGTATTTTGTATAGACCAGCTATTTTGCAGATTCTAAGGAATGTGAATGAAAAGAGGTACAGTCTCTTTCCCTTGGAAGCTTGTGATTTTACAGGAAATGGGAAAATATCCAGATAGGTACAATACAGTATGGTCAGTGCTACAGCAGGAAGTTGGTTTCTGAGGAATCAAAGAGGGCTTTCACAGGAGTGAGAAGTGAGTTGACTCTTTAATACAAGGAATTCAGGAGGAGATAAAGAATGTGGTAGTTTTCTGGGCAAAGGGAACCACGTGTGCAGATCTGGGTGGTTCCTAGAACCTGAGTATTATGATTACATTTGTTATAGAGGATAGGGGAAAGGCAGGTTTCAAGAGATCGTAGCATAGGGCCGGATGGTATCAAATCTTTATTCTTGTACCCAGAGCTCTTTAGAACAGGAACAGAAACCAAGCCACACTAGTTTAGTAATAAAGCATGACCTTTTAGGTTCAGATGTCTACCTCCAAGAGGCTGCATTCCCCATGTCTCCCAATTCAGGATTTTGAGAGAGAATCAGATTCCTGATTCTATCCCTGACTCATCTGATGACCCAAAAATGGGGAGGGGAGGAATGGAAGGAAGTTGAACCAAAGCTATGCAAGGCTGGGGTCTCATGGTAGGGGAGACTCTCCAGGAACAAGGAAGGATCCTGGAGAATAGACTAAAGTCCATCTGAAGCACAATGCTGTGGTCATGCAGGAAGTTCCTAGTTTTTGGTGTCTTAGTTACATTTCTCATTGCTGAGACAAAATACCTGATATCTAAAGTGAAAGGAGGGAAGGCTTATTTAGCTCAAAGTTTGTAGATGTCTCAGTTTATAGTTGGTTAGCTCTAAGGCAGGGTGGCCTGGAAGACAGGCATCACCTAAGAGAAACAGTTCATGGCAGACAGAAGGTAGCAAAGCAAGCAAGCGACTAGCAAGTTTCTTTCTGTCCCTTTTATATTCAATCTAGGCTACCTACCTTCTGGCATTAGGGTGGGCACCACTCACACTCAGAACTATGACAAACCCATCAGTGGACTAATTTAGTAACCACATATTGTTGATCCCAGCAGCACACATTCTAGATCCAGCCACCTCTATAAAAGCTCCACCTATAACTGCATGAGGCTTTGGGGGACATCTAGACACAAACCCTAACTCTTAGTGAACACTTGCAGAAAGCAAGAGAAAAACTATCTGTGAAGACCACAAGGTTGTCATTTCAACTTTTAAGGTCCCACTCGTGATTCCAAAGCATAATATCCGTAAGATATTAGAATTACAGTATTTTCACAATGTTGTTGATTCCAACATGTTCGAAAACAGTATTTAGTGTGATCACTTCACAAATAAAATACACCTTATCCTTAACTCTTCCAGAGGAGGCTGTCTGTACCAGGACAGCCACTAGCCAGAAAGGGACTGAGCCCCTCAGAGACTCCATGGGACAGAGTACAATCCACTGCATTCACATCAGACAGAGATATAAATGAGAAATTTACCTTTGTCAGGCAGTTAGGACTTGGAGTGAGTCTGTTAAGGCATCTATAGCTACACCGAGAGAATGCAAGTGGGAATGATAGGCAGCATTTCCCGGCCTGGCCAGTATATGGCACTACCCAGCTCCAGAAAGGATAGAGCCTGCTGCTCTGCAAGTCTGATTTCTGAGAAACTGTGGAGAAAATGGTTCTGTTGAGCGGTTTACTCCCCAGTACCGTACACACTGTGTGAATAAGAATGAGTTTCTATTTGATAGGTAATGGTGTATTACTGCAGTTGTTAGCCTACCCTAAACGGAACTCTACATAATTGAGAATTTATCTTATACCATCCTTCATATTTATCACATATTATTCTTTATTTTATATTTTCACTTGGTTAATAGAAATAAAGCAGATGCATTTTACATCTCATGAGGAGATATAAAAAAGATTTTAAATGAATTTTTAAAAAATAACTATATAAACGTTTTTCTTTAATTCACCTAAGCTTTTTAATGATGTTCTCAAATTCCATATTTGCCAAAAATTTGAAAAAGATTAACATTTTCTTTTGTGTCATCTAGAGGATAAAAATAGTTTAGGAAATAGAAATTGCTATATTTCTCTGCTATTTTATAATTTCATACGTTTCACTGAATTCTTGTATCTTGAAATTTCACCAAAGAATCTTTCTTAGATATGTATAGATTTATTTCTCATTTTTGAGATGTTGACAGCTCTCTTCACATAAATACATAATGTAATCTTTCAAAAAGAAACTTCAGGGTTCCCAAAATAGATAAATAGAAAGGATCAGAAAGAAAAAAACTCATTTTGGTGAAGTATGCATACTGACTTATGAAATAAAGCAGAATATCAAAGTCTTAAAAAATGAGTGTATTTAATTATCCCGTATGTCACCTGTTATATGGTGTCTTCATGCTTTTGTAAGTTTTCTTAGTCTTTCTTCCTCCAATCATAGAGAAGCTTACGGCTACTGAAAGTATTTATAGCTGGAATAACTCAAGTGACGTAGGGCTGCCTGAGATTATATATCTTTTAAATTTGTGCAGCTGGAAGACAATCATTAGGAAACACTTCAGAGTAGCAAGAGAGCATCCGCTCTCATTTCCAGCTTGAAATGCCTAGCATGGTTTGAAGCTCTGTGCTTTGTACCATGTAATGAAGAAAAAAATTGAAGTCCTGAGTGCTGACTATTTTTCAGGACCCAGAAACGATCGTTCATATAAACAAATACAAAATAAGAATGAATTACATTACAGGGCTAAAACACACAGACTCAAACTTTAATGGTTTTATATGTGGAAAGCATAATACTAGTAAAAATCAAATATTCTTTTCCATGAGTGAATAATTCAATTATCCTTTAAATATTGTCCAAGCATTTTGTGTAAATTACTTTTATTCTCTTCATAAAATTGTCAAGTTTGAGAATTTTTGTTTTAATATAATTTTCAGGTTTTCCTACATTAGATTACTGCCCTTTAATAACCCACTATTTCCTGTTGGCAATGTAAATAATCTTGTGCTTTTCGATGATACCAATGTCGTGTTCCAGCTGTTTCATCGCTTCTTCTAGCTTCTGCTTACGGACCTTCTTTGGTAGAGAGTCGATGAAGACTGAGAGGGACTGGAACTCTTTGTGTACTTCTTCCCAGTTCTTCTTTAGCCCCTGCAAATGATAAAGAAATTGGAAATGCTAAAGTAAACTGCAAAAATAAAGTGAATCATAAAGAAGCTGCACTGGCAACAAAAAATGTAAATAGGAAAAGAACACTGATAAAAGATTACTTTAAAAATGATACGTATTTATCAAGCACTTGGCCACAGTAACAAAAATATTGTATAGAGGCCAAATCCTGCCTTTGAGTCTCTTCTCTCTCCCCATCGAGAGTATTTATTTGCTGTGTCATGAGGTCACTGTACTTGTTTTTACCATCAAATACACATATGCAGAGTTATGAGTACTATAGGACTAAGTGCACAGAAAATGCTTTGGTAAAAGCCAACAACAGAATTGAGAGCCCCAGAAAAAAATACTTTTGGATAAGACATTATTTCTAATAAAATTTTTAAAAATAATTTTCCTTTTTATCCTCATCTTCAATAGAGAACTGACATAAGAAACTTACATGACTATATTTTCTTATACTTGAAAAAATGGGATTATAAAAATGCCAGAATTCAATTGTACAAAAGCTGACCTTTTATACATCTTTTCAGTATGTTAGAAAGTACAAATTGTCCTCCATATAGTCCAGGGATTCATATTTCCCTTAATGTATTCTGAAAATGATTGGAATGTCATTAAATGTAGTACACGTGCTAATTCAATAATACAGTTAATTTTTTTTTTTTTTTTGTCTTTTTCCTTTTTCAGGGATCGAACTCATGACTGCCTGCTTGCAAGACAGGCGCTTATGCCGCTGAGCTAAATCCCCAGCCCCTAACAGTTAATGTTTTATAGTCTCAAAAATCAACAAATTCAAAAGTAGGGATCTCTTAGGAGTAATAAAGGTTATTTTCATCTCTGCCTTGTTAGCCATTCCTTATCACAGTGAGCTAGGAGGTGCCACTGACAAAATGATCTTCAATTACAACTGAGTTCATTCAACAACATTTTAAAGATTAACACCCCTTATTATTCATATTGATTCACAAGTCATATTATTTACACAAAAGCAAAAAATAAAATCAATAATTAGTTTAAAATAATATCTGAGAAACTTGGTCTTTGAAGATACATGCTATATCATTAGGTTTAAAAGAGGATTAGAAGTGTCTTGGGTGATAATGCTTTCATAATAAGTCTCATCACACAAATTCAGTTTTGTGGAAACTCTTCGAGGACAATAATATTGCAATGATTTCATTTCTTGCTCAGATAAAAGCAATGAGAGGATCGGGCACACTGAATAGAGGAGCTAGTTGGAGAAAAGGGCGGCAGATTTTGACCCCTTGGTGAGTGATATTGTATCAAAGACCCAGGAAATGGAAATGATAGAAGGAAAGGCACACAGCCTGTTTTAAAAAGAGGGAGATGGATCAACACAGGTTTCAATGCTCCATGAGATGTAGTCCAAAAGCAGTTCTTCAAAAAAACCTCTATTCTCTATGGTCTTTCATTATGAAATGTAAAATCCGTTTCCACAGTGCACCACAGGAGTGCCCACTGCAAAGAGGAAATCTATATACTCACACACTTTCAAACATCACAGGATTTTCATAGCTATAGGGTGCATTTCCATATTATTATGGTCACAGTGGCTATGCTTTTTCTTTGAGTTTCCTTTTAAAGCATAGTTTGCTTTTTATCTTCCAGTGTGCACAGTAATGTCTGGATAAAGTCAACAGCTACTGACGGAAACTAAATATAACTAATATCTCATATTCTGTCAAAGTAACCTCCTTGCTGTTTTAAACATTTTTTATCTAAAGAAAGTCTTTTATCCATTGCAGTTATAGCAATTTTTTTCCTCTTCTTCCTAACATCCTTTCTTTTTCCTCCCTCCCCACTTTCTTGCTTCCTTCCTTCCTTTCTTTCCTTCTTTTTCTTTTTCTGTTTTACAGTACTGAGGTTGAGCCTAGGGCCAAACATGGTAGGCAAGTACTTTACCACTAAGCTACCCTGTCAATCCTTTCCCTTGTTTTTATTATTTAATTTTTCTCTATCTTAATGCTGAAATAATATGTCTAATTTGGGGACAAATTCAAACAAGGAAAAGCGGTCATCTCATGAGAAGCATCCTCATTTCACATTCTTTTTGTACCTGCTGCCTCCCATCAAACATTCTTTGCCTTCTTGCCCTGCTCGGTGACCAGGGGTGGAGGACAGGCACTGGTCCTTCTGGGGTGCCGATCCTCTGGCTCCCGTGCCCACTAGCTTCTGCTTGAGGTTAGCCAAAGGTGGAAATGGTACGAGGGCATAGAGGTTGGTGTGTTTCTTCCTTCTTCCCCTATCCCACTGCCTGGACTCAGCTCCAGGTGCACTCCAGTGTGACTGTGACACTGTCAGGTGGCCCCTCTTCCAGGCTCCAGTTCTCTCTAGGCTCTGAGGACATTTTTTTCTGTCCCTGCCTTTGTTGTCGTTGTTGTTGCTATGACAGCTATACTCCGAGGCAGTAAGGCATCCAATGGAGGATTGCTTATTATTGCATCTAAAAGCAGAAGAGGAACCTGAGGATGACTTATCCTTCACAACCAAAAAGCTCACGGAGGAAAAAGCCTTTTCCTTCAAGGGAAGTTCTTATTTTCCTGTGTTTTTCAGCATCATTTAGGTCTAAAGTCCAGCTTTCACAAATGCATGTACTTTCTGAAGATGGGAGAATCCAAAGCAGAGGGAGATTGTGAACTAAAGACCAGCACTGTCCACATAAGTGACATGCAAATGGCATCTTCCGTGTGTCCTTGCCTTCTGTTTGTCTGTCTTCCTCTCTTTGTTTCCGTGCTCTACTACCAAACCTCCATGTTTATGCTGGGCTCTGATGATACCACTGTCAATAGAGTCCATTTCTACTTTTAAGTCATTCCTACTTATCTAAGACACCCTGTCATTTTGTGCTTTTGGGTTCAGCTACCAGTCTGTATCGTTTAGTGCTGACTAGTGCTTGGAAACTTAAAAAACTTCTAATCTGTATATGCACACATTTGTAGGTATGTTACCTGTCATCAATCAGTTTGCAACCTTTCCTATAGCAGAATTTTATTTTTTGATTTTAAGTACTCTCTGGCCATAGCACAATATGGTATACAAAGCAGGCATTTAATAAACCTTTACTGGTGATTAGATAACATCAACAATGTGTTAAAATTTTAATAGTATACAAATTAATTTTTAACAGAAATTAAGGTAGTTTTCTCTGTTTATTTCAAAGTCACTACAAATACCTTTGCAAAGAGCTTTCAAAGAAAAAAATATCTATTTTTCCTTTTACAAGAAACTGCATGACTGTAGCAGACTAAAAGCAGGCATGTAATAAATACTCTTTACAAATGATGATGAAGCATCAATCCTGCTCACATCTCCCAATATTTTAAATATTTCAAACTAAAATCTGAAATTAAAAATCCATCCAGGTATATAGCTCAGCAGTACAGTGCCTGCCTGGCAAGAGCAAGGTCCTGAGCTCAATTCCTGGAACCAAAAACAAACAACAAAAAAATCCAGTATAAATAAACGTCTTTTGTGTCTAGTTTACTCAAAATAAAGAAGATATAGCATATGTAAAACCTAATACTTTCTTATTTAGAAATTTGGGTAATTCTTTATATGAGATAGTTCTTTATCAGAGAGAAGAGAACTGTGGGTTTAGGGACAGTTTCAATTATTCTAGAGCTCCATCTAGTGAAAAAGACCTAACTTATGAATATTATTTTTCAAATAAATTGAGGGGCATGAGATGGAAAATAAAAATGTTTTTCTAGATTTATTTATATATACTTGTCGTAGGAGAAGGTGAGCTTCCTTACAACACAAACTCACTAAGTTGGAAGCAAAATGTTTTGCAAGAAATCTTTATACTGCAACCTTCGACTCCTCCCAGAGTCTGCATTGCCGCGCACGCTTTGTTGCTATAACCAGAAGAGACGTTTGCGATTTCACCAAGTGTTAGCTGTGGTCATCAAGTTGATGGTGAACTTTTGGAGCTGTTCCAAAGAGTTTCACACGAGCACAGATCACAGGTCACTTACCTGCAGAACAGCATCTCTTTCTTCATCCAATAACATTTTCATAGCTGCCTTCTTGAGGTTTTCCTGGATATAATGATCATACTCTTCCTGAGCTTTCTTCACTTCCTCATTCCGCTTACATATGTATTCAGGTGTGACGCCATAATCCTGCAACGATTTTGTAGGGGAAAAATGTCCTGAATGTCATACTATAGGTATGTAGCAGTCAATGACTCGAACAAAAATAAATTTTACTTTAAATTTTGCTTAGAACACTACAACCTGACAAAATTCAGAGCTGTCTCTCCCCTTTGAGAAGTTACTAACTCTACTCTTTAAAACTGAGTTGTCATTGTATTCATTTCTCTCTCTCTCTCTCTCTCTCTCTCTCTCTCTCTCTCTCTCTCTCTCTCTCTCTCTCTTTCTCCTTCCTAGATGTTTCCAGTGCCTGATGCAGTGGTGACTTGGCCCTTACTTTACTCCTAAAAGTTGGCTTTTCTTTCTATATTTTGTGTGTATCGGCTTTTTCCTGATAGCTTCACTATCTTTGGAGTCTTTTTCTCATACTTTTATTAAATAAAAGAAGACAAACGCTCCGGAGGCATTAAAAAAAAAACCTTTAAATGATTCCAAGGTTGAGCACCTCGGGACACTGAGGTTGTTTTGGGAAGTGCTAGACACATTTTCAGGCTCCCAGACTGCTTCCAAGGACAAATAGTGGAGCTATCGGCTGAAATTCTTTCAGATGAGTACATATACTGGTGTCACCATCTGGAGAAACAGGAATACTCATGTTCATTTTTCCAAACAGCATGTGCGAAGGCATACTCAGGGCAAGGTGTCACAGTGAGGAGGAAAGACAAAGTTTCTGTCACACAACATTACACAAACTCTTGAGAGTACAGCATTCTGATGAGTTAGCGCAGTGATAAACAGCTCAGTCTGTCTCAGCAAACACTAAGGGCAACACTTCACGGCAACCCAACACAACTCATGTTCAGAGTGATGACTCTGCTGCTTCGAAACGATATTAAATTAAATTTGGCATATTCAGTCTCAGAAAGGCATAATACATTTAAAAGGCCTCACAAATGGGCAAAACCTTCAGTAATTCAGTAGCCCTGGATGCTGAATCACTGAAGGCTAATGTATACTATTAATATTAATAATATCATATATTATAGTATTAATTCTTTGTTGCACTTTTACCAGGTGTCAGCTACTGTATCAAATACTTTATATACTTATATCACGTAAGTCTCACTACAACTTTGTGATAAACAGATCTTAGAGCTAGTAACATGTTACACTATTGCCATGTACCTCATGTAGTCACCCAGTCTTCAGTTTGATTTTGCAAATTGTTTCTCAAGGCACAAATGGTATATAGTTTAAGGGGGAACTAAAACATGAGATTCACTGAGTTTTAAAAAAAATTTTTGTCTTTAACAGAATTTATTTACTCTCCTATTTACTGTCTCATTAGATTTTTTATAACAGTAAGTGAAAAGCTAAATAAATCTTTCATGAGCCCTGAGTGCTTAGTCAGCAACACCAACAGGACCATATATGCATGGCATGTTTTTTTGTTTTTTTGGTACCAGGTATTGACCTGACGACCTCACACTTGCCAGACAAGCACTTGGCCGCTGACCTATATCCCCAGTCCCCATGCATAGCATTTTCTTAGTTTAGTAAACAACTAGAGTTAGATTAGCCCAGTTTTTGTTTGTGTGACAGATTCTCCAAATTTTATCTTCAAGGCAGATGGGTAGCTTAGGCAGAGAACAACAAGAAGGAGGGGCACAGTATGTGGCAGTTGATGGCTTAACTATCAAAGGAGAAGGTTTTTATGTGATAGTAGAGAAATAATAGATTGCAAATCTATTGAGAAGCCAGGAGACTAAAACTCCACCTTTTCTCTAACTATGAGACCAGGATGGTAAGCATCTTCCAAGGGCCACAGAGGAGGGAGTATTCTGAGAAGCTTTAAGTAATTTCTAGATTTCAGCTCCTAGATGCCTGCTGAAATTCTCTCAGAGGTGATTTTAGCCTGTTAAATAAGAGTTGCCCAGAGGATAAGTAGTGCTCTCTGGAATCTACCTCCAAGTTCCTGAATTGAGATTCCGCAGACCTCAGATCCGCCTGGTAGATCACCGGAGCACCTCAAGGCAGGTCCTCACCCCTCGGATGCAGTTCCCTCCTCCTCCTGCTTTTCCTGCTTCTCCGCCCTCTGCCTCCCTGCCTGCTTCCTTCTTCCCCTCCTGTCTGTCTCTCTCCTTTTCCTTTTTCCTTTGTTCCTTCTTTTCACCCTTTTTTGGGGGGTCACAACTTATTATTTATTATTATTTTTTATAATTTTCACTCATGCTTTACTATGTATTTCAAGCATTTGTATATTTCATAAATGTACAAAATAGAATTTACCTTTTTCTTTGTGATCAAAGATCTTCTATACCTACACCATTAAACTCAAACTTCTTGTAATGTTCACCACTGAAATTACATGACTATTTGATAACATCTTTTTGGATAAAAATAAAGGACCCAAGAGAACTATATTATTGTACAATATTGTACAGTATTTTAAAGGCTGTATGCCATATTGCAATTTAATGAGTATGTTTTATGATGTTTCGAAAGGCCATTTTTTCTAGATTTACAATAGTGATTGCGTTGTGACAGTTTCACTTCACCAAAAATTTTCTTTCAAAGAATATGTGTCACAACTATTAAATACATCTATAACTGACACTGACTAAAACAAGGATCATATTCATTTTCTGAACTATATGGCATTATTCATTATAAGTACTCTATGAATTTATCACATTAGAGTTGAACCACATATGGACTACAGAACAATGGGAGACGGCAATCTAGATAATTTGTCCAGAGAGAGCACAATTCATGGTAACAAAAGCAATTGTTATGAATGTCACATGTAAATTCTTTGAATTTTAGGTCTCTCTTTAATACGTTACAAGATTACCTTTTTATGGATGTACTTCGGAAGAAGTCCTGATGTTTCCAGATCATGCTTGTCTCCAGTTCTTTTGTCAACATAAATTGGCTTAGGCTTTTTAGCCACTCCCATGATGACTTCGGCTGCGTTTGTATTTATAAAATTTTTTCCACTCTGTATTCCCATGACTGGGTGATCAGTCCTCAGCGGCACAGGAGGCTTTCTGGGCTCATTCCAGTCGAACTTTTTTTCTGGTAAGTATAACATTTCCTTGTTCATATTAAGAGTATAAACATTGCTATTTAGTATGCTTTATAATGCTCAGGCATTTTACTATGAGTACTGGGGTTCCATAAATAATATATTCATATACTTATGGCACCAAGTTTATACTTATTCCCAAACTGTTGAGTTGTATACAGTAAGTCCCTGATTTATAAATGGATTTTGTTCCAGGGGACGTTCCTAAGTCTAATTCTTTCCTATGTCTAACAAAGTGAGTCTCACACATCTGACGCCAATGCACAGTGTGCACTGCTTCCTGCTTCCTAGCACCCCTCCACATCTCCACTTCTCCCGCTGCTCCTGCACCCAGCACTGCACCAGTGTGCGCTAGGCGCTGTACAGTGAGCGCACAGCAGCACAGCTGTGGTCCGTGCGGCAGACGCAAGAGCTGCTTCTGCAAAGTGCTCACATCTGTGAATGTTTGTGATGCAAGGCCAGTTCGTATCTGTAGAAGTTTGCAACTCGAATGTTTGCAAGTGGAAGACTGACTGTACATTAAATATGTACGGCTTTTATATGTCCATCATATCTGAATAAAGTGGCTTAAAAAAGGAAAAATATCACTAACCAATATGCCAAAAGTTAAGTATAACATAATTAATTAATACCTTGAAAAACAGTATAAAAATCAAAGGGAGAAGAATAAGTATCCCAATTTAAATGTTAGCTTTTATATTTTAACTAACTACTATGAAAATACTTCCCTTTTAAATAAAAATTTCAACAACAAATATTTAGCTTTCTCATTTAAAATAAGTTTAAAACAACATTAAAATGCTTTACTATTAGTAACATTACCAAAAACTACTTCATTGGAAGAAAATAAATCACACAATGAATTGAAAGTCTAAGAATCTATGGATTTTTTTCACTTAAAGTACTACTATTATAAGATATTGATAATCATGTAATAACTATGTATACAACATTCAATTTACAAATAAAACATTATCAGTACTGTTGAAATTTCTTTTTTTTTTTTTTTTTTTTGTCTTTTTCGTTTTTATCGGTACCAGGGATCGAATCACGACTGCCTGCTTGCAAGGCAGGCTTTATGCCGCTGAGCTAAATCCTCAGCCCCTGAAATTTCGTATTCACACTTCCCAGATTGTATTCTATCTTTTAAATCAATTGCTATGCAGGCTTTATCTTCTTTGTATCTCTATACCACACTTGGTCCATTAGTACCATGTGATATTGCTCATTTTACAGTTTTTCAGCTCATCATTCTAACCAATCTTATTTTAATATAGCCACATCAATATGATTTGTCAAATGCCAAAATATAAAATAATTATAATGTATTTTCAAGAACTAAGAGCAACAATTACCTTGATAAGACTTTCCTCCAGTCTTAACCCTATACAATCACTAGGGACTTTGATTTTATTAATTTTTTCATTGATGTGCTGTGAACTTATATAACTTTTCTATCAGAAAAACATTATTTATTGTTAAAAATCTATGGACTGTATGCATTCTTGTAGAGGCTAAATTGTGTCTCCTAGAATTCATATGCTGAACCTCAGAATCTCCAGTACCTTAGGACATGATTGTCTGGATACAGGGACTTCTGAAAAGTAAGTTAAAATGAGGTCATTAGAGCAGCCCCTAATCTGACTGGTATCCCTATAAAAGGAAGTTTACAGAGATACACCCAGAGGAAATACTATACGAAGACATGGGAAAAGACAACCATCCATCTACAAGAAAGGAGAGATACCTTAGAAGAAACTTAGTGCTGGACTCCAGAAATACTGTGTCTCACGGGACTAGGTTAGAAAGCTTTTGTATCTTTTTTTTTTTTTTTCTCTTTTACCTCTTCTTTCCTTTTTTTGATGCTGGAGATTTAACTCAGAACCTCACACATGTGCTGTACCACTGATCCACTCCCACAGTCCCAATCTTGAATTTTTCAAGTTTAATTAGGCTAATTTAAAGTTTGAGTTTGCCTTCACCTTACAGCGTTTACAAGAGAGGCAGATCTCAGATCCAAGACTGATTATTGCCAATAAGAAGCTTTGGTTCTCCTTTTTGGAAGGTTTATATAGCTTAATAGTTACATTACGTAATTTGCTTACCCCTAGAGAAGATACAGGAAGACCCAATGAGTATCATTTGTCTTAATAGATTGAAAATAATGAATTCTATTTTAAGGTTTTCCAATTTTGTCAAATGGTGAGAGGTTGGTTACAAAATGTCAAGACACCACTAGAATATATATATACACACACATATGAATATAAAGCAACTTGTGAAGTCATGAATCAAGCAGGGATGCTGTATTTTCAGACTTTCTTCTTCCATCTTTCTTGATAATGCCTTTACCTTTTGTTGTGAGATGTGGCTTGTGAGAGGATTGTGGGATACAGGGCATCTGGGAAGATGTAGTCTTATTTATGTAAAAATGTACACTCTTAGCTGGACTTGAGATGTTGCATTATTTATTTGATGCTAGCAGACATAAGAGGCCAACATTTAAAAAGCCAGACTGTGTTTTCTTTATTGCCCGAAAACATTACAAAAGACCTTCTTAGGAAGGGAGAAGATGCTTTCATGCACATTGTCTCAGATCCATTTCTCTATCCTCACTACATGACTGATAGCTTTCTTTCTTGATACAAACATACTCTATGATACTCTATGACTAGAATTCATTTTGTAATGCTTGAGGCCAACCACAAAATAAAAACACAGTGCTCCTTCATCAAAAGCTGTAAGAATTTCAAGATGTAAGAGCAGGGAATTAAACCAAGCCTGGAGTCCTTCCAGTAGGGCCCCGTGCAACTGCACAGGTGAGGTTCTGGCTACCACTCTCTCATGAAGTCTCTTCTACATTTCATGGGTGGGCTTCACAGTCATAGAGTTTCAGAAGAGCAAAGGCTTATACTCAAAAGCAAGCCGGTATTGCTTTAAAACTGGTAGAATCAATTGTAATTTCTGTCTTTTGGCAAAAAGACCAAAATTTTGATGGTGGGAAATCTTGCCCATTAAGGAGGATGCCAGGTCCTGGGTTTCAAGCTCATCACACCATTGGTGTCTATAATTGGAGTCACACAGCCAGACACTCAGATGCTGAGGCATGCTGGAAGCGAGACTTAATGGTTAGTACAAGACACAGAGTCTGGCGCCCCATCAAAAGACTATTTTGGGGGCAATTTATCACTCTCTATTCTCGTTTTCTACTATATACTCTTGGTGTGGCTTGTATCTAGATGTCCCCCCAAAGCCTGTGTGATCATCATAGTGGGATTTATTTTCAGAGGGGGCTGAATCTGGAGTGCGTGATGCTGGGCTCAAAGGCGAGTGATTGCTGAATTAGTGCACTGATGGTTTTGGCAATGCCCTAGTCCCAGTAGCCTCGCATGTAAAAGGGGAAGAAAGAAACTGCTAAGATTCTTGCTTGCTTTGGTAACCTCCTCCCACCATGAACTGTCTCTCCTCAGTGATGCCCTCTGCTGTGTCACACCGTGACGGAGCCAGCTAACTATGGACCCAAACCTTCGGAAACTGTTACCCAGCTGGGCGTGGTGTCACATGCCTGTAATCCCAGCACTTAGGAGGCTGAGGCAGAAGGATCACTGTGAGTTTGAGGCCATCGTGGGCTTCAAAGTGACTTCAAGGCCAGCCTGAACTATAGAGAGAAATTTTGCCTCAAGAAGACAAAAACAAAACAAAACAAAGCAAACAAATAGAAAACTGTGACTCAAACAAGCTTTTCCTCCCTTAACTTTGGGCCCTGGGTATCTTGTCCCAGCAATTAGAAAAGTAACCATGATAACTGTTTCTACTTTCTCGGAGTCATCCACATCCTGTTTAATATGAGGTAATGGTGTCGTCACCTATGCGTGTTCCAATATTCATTGACAATCAATAATTCTAGTTATATTTTCTGATATCATTAATATTAAACAGAAAGCACAATAAGACCTACTGGGTGGTAGGGCTTTTTCCTTTGAATGTTTCTTTAGGAAATCTTTTGGAGAAGGAACTTCAACTTTGGCTGGTCCCATGGTTTTCATTGACGTTTTAGATTTTTTCATGTCATTTTTTACAGCTGCTCTAAAAATTGATGCGTATCTGAAATTAAATTTTAACAGTTGTAGTACTCATATTTATAGTAAAAAATAAACTTTAAAAGCAGGTATACATTTTTATCTGTACATATACACATTTTAATGTCATGTGAAAAATTATGGTATGAGCCCTATCTATCAGGCTTACAAAATCTAGATGGATGCTCTGGTTTTTAAAAAAATGCACCAGGGTAAAGGCATTCATAGTATTTCCTAAGCAGCAGCATTAGCAGTGATAACCCTTCCTGCCAGCAGTCATTTTGTGCCTTCTTTCCATGCCACCTTCTCTTCTGACTAGTCTTGCTAGACAGGATTTAACACTGTTGATCTCAAAGAATCAGAATTTCATTGACTATTTATTTATTTATTTATTTATTTATTTATTTTGTCACACAAATCCCATCCAACGATTCCTGCGTGGATCTTTGCTACTTCTTCTCCTTACTTTCAGTTTAGTTTGCATTCCTTTTTCTTTTTTTCTTTTTAGGATATAAAACTTTCATAAATGTCTTATATTCAGTTTATTCTCAAATTTGCATTCCTTTTTCAAAAGTTTCTTAAGGTACAAGTTTAGTTATAGCATTTGATTTTAAATCTTTATGTTTTTGTGATATGTTTAAAGTTACAGCATTCTAAGCCCTAGCTTGACTGTATTTCATAAAGGTTTGTATGCAGTTTCATTTTCATTCACTCCAAAATACCTCTTAAGCTACATTCCTACATCTGATGTAGAAATTTGTTTAGTTGTTTGTTTTCATACGGAGGTTGCAGATGTTTAATTGACTTCTAATTTATTTCCATTGTAGTAAAAGAATATATTTTGTATGATTTCAAGCCTCTTAAATTTCCTGGCATTTACTTTATGACACCGTTTGGTCTAGTGTGGCCAATGTATTTTGCTACTCTTGGATGTTGAGTTTTACGAATGACTATTAGATCAAACTGCTAGATAGTGTTTTCTTTAAATGTTTTTTTTTTGTTGTTGTTGTTGTTTGTTTGTACCAGAAATCAAACTCAGGACCTCATACTTGCTAGGCATGTGCTGTGCTGCTGAGCTAAATTCCCAGCCCTGAAAGTGTTTTCAAGTGTTCTATATCTTAATTGGTCTTACTTTTTCTATTCATTTTTGAAAGAGATGTTGACATCTCTGACTATAATCATGAGGATTTGGCTACTTCTTTTAATTCAGTAAGCTTTTGCTTTAGATATTGTGAACCACTGTTAATAATGGCTTTATTTTTGAAAACTGATCATATTATAAAATAACACATTTTATTCCTTTAAAAATTTTTGTACTCTAAAATTTAGTCTATCTGATATTAGTATAGTCACTCTAACATCCTTTGATTTAGGATAGTTTATCTTTTTAAATTTTTTTTTTAAATTTTATTTTGAAAGTAGTAAAATACAACAGATCAAGACAGAATAAAGCCAACTAAGATTGTACAGTGAAATTGGTACAGAACTTCACAGCAGGTTACCGGGATAACAGTCATAGGTATCACAGTATATTTCATTATCTTTACAATAGTTGTTCTTTCAATCATGTATATCAAAATAAAATGAAATACAGAACATTATAGAACTTATCAAAACAGAATATTGAATAGAGCAGTACCGTTAATCAGAATGGAGCAAAACAGCAATAAAAATATTTGCCTTCAAAGAGATGGTAGACTCAAGTCCCTCTTATTTGCTATGGTCAGCCTCCCAGGAGGTGCTCAGATCTCTGGTTCCCATTTGCTAACGGGGGGACAAGAGAAGAGGGTTAGGAGAAGTGGGAGGTTTGATTAGGCCGTGCACCAATAGGTTCACTATTGCTTAGCAGGGAGGCAGGCTGGTTGCTTGGTTTCCCAGCTTCATAAGTTCCAACATGGCGCGGATCCCAGAAGACACTGCTGGTTCTCCCCCTGGATGGGCCGCAGCCGGCCACACCTCAGCCACTTCCCAGGGAGGGGACCTGCTTGCTTGGTTTCCCAGTGTCCTGAGTTCCAACATGGCATGGATCTCAGGAGCTGCTCTATGTATCTTTTTCATTTTCAGGTTTTTTTCTTGTCAGTGTCTTTGTTCTTAAAGAGGATGCCTTACAGACATACAGGAATGGAAATTTTATCAAACAATCACTTTTATTTGGTATGTTGGACCACTCATAAGTAATGTGATTTAAATTTTTCATGTTGCTGTTTTCTACATATCCTATTGCTTAATGTTTCTCATTTTATCCTGATTTTAAATTTTACTTTGCACGTTTTAACTTTTCACAGCCCACCTCCACGTAATGGTACACCACTTCACATACACTTGTAGGATCTAGCGGGAGATGGGGTGTAACTCAGCAGTGGAGCACTCAGCATGATCAAGGCCTGGGTTCCATCCCTAGCACTACAAAGAGGGGGAGGAATCTGACAAAAGTATTCTTGCTTCCACCCTCACCTTTGTCCTTTGCTATGTCTCAAAAATTCCCAAAAATTCTCAAAAATTCTTTAAAAATTAATTCATTGTAATTTTTATAACAGTGAATTGCATAAAAGGGTTTTGAAATATTTCATATGTACCAACATATTTTGCAAGTGTTCTTCATTCAGTTTTGTAAATCCAAGTTTCCAAGTGGCACCATTCCTTCTGCATAGCGATTTTTAAAAACCTCTGGCTTCCACTGTGTTTGCTGACCCTGTTGTCCTGTGTGTGTAAGCTTTCCGTTTTCATTCTCACTATTTTTGATTTTTTCTTTATTAAGAGTTTTAATAAATTTAATTTTAATGTCTTGGCATAGTTGTCTTTATTTTTTTTTTCCTCTTCTTGGAATTCACTGTGATTTTTAGATCTGTGGGCAAGGGGATTTTATCAAATTTGACACACTTTTTACTTTTGTTCAAGTATTTTTTCTGTTCCTCCATCTATTCTCTTCTATCCTTTTCTGAGATTCCAATTATATAGCATGAGCTTGACCATTGCTTGCCAATATTCCATTTTCATTTGTGTGAGTTTCGTTTTGTGTTTTCCTAGTTTTGTACCTTCAATTCAATTAGATTTTCTTCTTTGGTGCCTTAGCTGTTGTTATTCCGTCTAGTACACTATTTTCATCTGGGTCATGTTACTGCACTCTTTATGTCTACAGGTTAAATTCTGGCCCTTCCCGCCCGTTCCCTATCTCAAGCATGCTTTCCTCTGCCTTTCTGAACTAGGATTAAAACAGCTGTTTAATACACCTTGTCTACTGATTCTCTCGCGTATGTCATTTCTATGTCTGTTTATATTGACTGATTTTCTTCTCAGTTAGGCCTTGTAAGTAGTTTTAGAGTGGACACAAAACACTCAGTTTTACATTGCTGATTGCAGAATTTTTCACTTTTTCTTCTTTCTTTTAAATTTCTCATTTGTTTTATTCTGAAATGCTGTGGTGATAACTGAGAACTGTGATCATTCGAAAGCTTGGTTTTTAGTTTTAGAACAAGTCCAGAAGGGCTGTTAGTTTAGCTCTAATTTAGACTCCCTTCTGCGATCTCTGCTTGTCTTGTGTAGTAGGAGCCGTCTCCACTCCGGCGAGGAAGCCCGTGACTTTCACCTGGCATTACTGCTTCCTGCTGGTTATTTCCTTGGCCTTGGTAGTTTCATTATCCCCCTGTGCTACTGACCAAAGATTTTAGGGAGGTCTCTGTGAGGATTTCCACTGCTCTGTGCAATTGTCTCCTCTCTAGTACACTGTGCTGTAAAGTCTAGTTTCTTTGGCCTTCCCAAACTCTGAACTCCGGCGGTTCCTAGGCTTAGTTTGGCCTAGGAAATTGGACTTTGGCCTGGAAATTGTTCGCCGCAATTATGTTAGGGCAATTGTAGGACTTGCTTCATTCTTTTCTCTTTTAGGATACGTGCTCGGGGCTATTGTCTAAAAATCACTGTTTTGTGTTTTTTTTAAATGCTCTAGTTGTTTTAGATGAAAAAGTAAATCTCATGCTTGATTGGCAGCAGGAGTTCAGCTATATTACTTTTAATACTTTGTATGATCTTTTTGTTATGTGGATAAATTTCTTGGAAAAAATATTAAACTTTCGTGATTTTTGGCTTTAGGGGTATTCTTCAATCTTAAACTCAGCAGCTGGACATCAATGGTCTCAGACACCTTCAGGAAATTGTATTTAAGCCAAGCATGTCACAAAATTCTCAGAGAAGCTGGGTTGGCGGAATGCTTTCATGATCAATAATATGATTTCTTCTGAGGTAGAACAGAATGCATATATCCTCACCATTTTGTTGTTGTTGTTATTGTGACTTGTTTTGTTTTTGTGAGACAGGGTCTCACTATGTAGTTCAGGCTGGTCGTGAACTCATAATGATCCTCCTGCCTCAGCCTCCCAAGTGCTAACGTTACAGACTTGACCAGCATGCCTGGCACATTCTCATCATTTTTTAAATTGCAATTTTGTGATAAGATACTTTTTTCTACATATGAAAGCCCACCTTTCTATCACACAAAATAAGAAATTTTACTATAATTTTTATTCATCTGAACTAATTATAAAATAAAATTTATAAAGGAATAAAATCTAAATTCTGTCTTCCAAAGTTTTCATAATAAATTTAGTTTTCTGTGTTTCTGTAAGATTGAAACTTCATTTTGCAAACTTAATAGAGTACAACATATTTTAATGTTGGCATGCAAAGTTTACTACTTTAAATAGCTGCATTTTATTCTATTTTTTGAATAGTATAGTCTTATAAATATCTAGGAGGTGATTTACTAGAAAACTGGTTGTATTTTCTGTTTATTATTAGATGTGGACTAGAAACAACTTGTTTACAAACTAAAATTGTCATCTTCAGTAAACAAATCACAACTATGGCATAAAAACGTAAAAAACAATATTGCTCAAAAGTTGTGACAGTTTCATAGAGTATGACTGAAACAATTTCCCCTAGTGACTATCAGAGTAACAATGTGTGTGTGTGTGTGTGTGTGTGTGTGTGTGTGTGTGTACATTTAATTGTAGGTTAATACTAAAGTCTTCCAAATTCCTTTTTTCCTTTCTGTTCCTCTCCCCGCCTGCTTTCTCCTCTTCCTCCTCTGTCTCCCCACCTGTTTTTCTTTCCATACTGGGACTGATCCCAGGGGGGTACTGAGCCACATAATCCACAGCCCTTTAAAAAGAATTTTATTTCTTTAGTTTTTTATTTTAAGAAAGGGGCTTAAATGCAGTTCTGCCTCAGCTGGCAGAGTGGTTGGGATTATGGGTGGTGCTACCATGACTGGGCCCTAGTTATTCCCTAAAGAAATTTTTTGATAAACATTCTATAAACACATCTACAATCACTGAAGTCCCTAATTCAGCTTCATTATTATATCTAGTAATTTTTCAAAAAATAGTTGCCAACGTTATCATCAGCCTGTTGTGTTCTCAAAGTTATGTTCTGCACTTACTTTGTAATGAAGTTGTATGTCATTGAGTGTAATTGTGATCTTAGTGCACTCAAAACCTACTACAAACTGTTGGGGAAAGTAACATGAGAGAACATCAAAAGGGCGTACAGAGGGAATAACTCAAAATGAAGAATCACTAAGCACATAGTGACTACAACTTTCCTTACTGACAAAAATCTTATTTGTGAATGTCCTTCCCTTTATCCATGTATCTGAAGGGGCAAAATTGCCATTTTGAATTATCTCTTCTCTTTGGGAATTATCTCTTCCCAAATCGTTGCTTCTTCCACATTCTTCAGGTATCTGTAGTATATATACCACATCTTTTGCTGGGCAACTGTTTCCTGATGATTTTGATTCTTCTTTATGTAAACTCTGTGTGTGTGTGTGTGTGTGTGTGTGTGTGTGTGTGTGTGTGTGTTTTATGTACTATATAAGCAGGTGAAAAGCAGAAGACCACTTGGATATGGGGTTGGGGTTTCAGTCGCCACAAATAAACATCAATTAAAAAATAAGTTTGTTAAAATTCATTTGGAGACATTTTAGGCATAGCAATTTTCATCTTGATGCCAGAAAAGCTCCTCATTAAATCCTTGCTGATAAATTAGAGAAATATGAACTAATTAACGGGTCTAGTTTGGGTAACAGAAGACTCAAAAAAAGTAATTTCTGCCTTCAGATAGGTATCTAGTTGCCTCCTGGCAGTGCAAAGTACATGCCCTTCAGTGACAGATGCAGATATAAAGGACATACTCATTTGATTTGCAAATGACACACAGCTGTGAAGAACAGTTGAGAGAGTATAACCAATTTATAATTGAAAACTATCTCCATAAATTAATGATGGGCTGAAAGAATCAGCTACGTAACTAAAGACAGGAGAGACTAATCATAGACGTAACACAGGCAGGGATTTCAATGTGGGCCAACAATGGGATATGGCTATCAATAAAAGAAACTCAAACATTTCAGGTAAAGGTATTGTGCCAAGTATTAAGGAAAAAGTTACTAAGCTCATGAACTGTTTAAATCACATCTGGCATATTGCCTTAAACAGAAAGGAAAAATGAATGATTGGAAATAGTAAATAACTATAGCCATCAATAAAAGGGTGATGGATTTGGTGAAAATCCTGAAAATCAACCAGGCATAGTGGTGCATACTCATAAGCCCAACAGCTAGGAGGCTGAAGCAGGAGGATGGCTGTGAGTTTGACGCCAGCCTGAGATACATAGTGAGTTCAAGGCCAGCCTGAACTAAATAAAGAGACTTTGTCTCAAAAAATAAATAAATAAATAAATAAATAAATAATAAAATAAAATAAAAACAGATAAAAATTGTAGACCATACATTAATGTGAAGCAACCCTCAACAGTTTTCAGAGGATCGAAATTACTCAGTATGTTCTTTGATTAGGAGTGGTTAATGTCTACAAAATATTGATTGTTACAATCTTTAAAAGTTGTCTAGATGCAGCAAAGCTTTTAATTTACCAATGAACAGTACATCTACCTAATAACACTTAATCTTAACATTCAAATTCAGTAGTGTATAGAATATACAATCTATGCAGTGATGGCAAACATTTTAGAGATGAGTGCCCAAACTGCAACGCAAAACCCATTTTTTTTTTTAATCACAAAGTACTAACACTGCAATTTATTGTTTATTTATTTATTTATTTATTTATTTGTCTTTTTCCTTTTTATTGGTACCGGGGATCGAACTCACGACTGCCTGCTTGCAAGGCAGGCGCTTATGCCGCTGAGCTATATCCCCAGCCCTAACACTGCAATTTAACCTGCATACTGGAGTTTTAGTTTAGAAACAACAACTCATATATGTTTTGTCTTAAAAGAAAAGCACAACACACCTGCCAACACTGTATCAGGGTATTACAAAAAGGAGGAACTTTTATTTATATAGGACTGTGAACCAAAAGTTACTTCGGTAATGAATAATTTGAACTGTATCATAGTTTTACATTCCTTTTTCTAATCTGTATTAGATTTTCAGAAAATAATATAAATACAATGCAATTATTGCTCTGGTTAAAACCAGCTATTCACTTAGGCTGGAAATGGAATCTTATCTTAGGCCTGTTATTATGCACCCCAAAGTAACTATTAGTAAAAATAATTGACTATTCGATTTGAAAGACACCTTAGAGATTACTTGATTCACTCCGTACTACAGATATGAAAACAAATGAAAATGTACTGAAAACTTCCAAAACAATTGGTTGTAGAGCCTGAGTTTTAGTCCAGTGCTCTTTTAAAGTGGCTTCTGATGAGCATAATGAAAAAGATAAAAGTAAATGACAAGAAGCACTTTAAGTCCTAGAAAGAAAGATATTTTCTTCACTAATTACCTTCTTTTCTCTCCATGAATTTAACGAAGTACACACATAGGAGTGTAACTGGAGCGCTTACTTTCTGGTTATCTTACTTTTTGGATATGAGATTTGGTAACAGAGTCTTAATAACTATGCAAAACATTTAACTCAATTACATATTTTTGTATCTTTACCTGGATATTCAACCATTTTCTCTTCTATTCAGCCACTAGATCTGAAAAAGTTCTAGAACTATTGTATCTAGTCCTCTATTTCCTATTTTAGTACGTGTTGCTGCAGTGAGCACATTCATTTCTCCAATCAATAAACAGAAACTCAGAAAAAATAAGTACTGTATCTTTGGAGAGGGAGCAGTTAGAAATACAACACTGAACTCCGGAAACCAAACATCAAGTCTCCTAACACAGAAAAAATATAATTCCGATTTTCTCTTTTTAACAGCATGATATTTCATTCAGATTGTAAACTGTATCACGTACAAACTATTAAATAAATTACAAAATAATTCCACAACGTATTAATAGAAAGCTAAGTGTAACCTAATGACAGCACTGGAGTGCTTTTTTATGAACTAAATACCTCGATGGGGGTGGATAAATTCTCTAAGAAGTCATTAGTAAGGCTATATTTTATTGAGGCAAAACATTATATGTCCCCAAAATCTTGTGATACATACATATGTGTGCTTAGTTTCAAGAGGGCATCTTTGCTTACCACCTACCTAGGAGGCCGGGGAGGTTCTTTGAAGTCATTGGGTATGAGGTTATAAATGCTCTCAGACAAGCACGCTGGATCCATGGGCAGCAAACGGCTCGTTAAAAACTACAGCTCTCTACTTCTTTTCCTCACTGTACAATACTAAGTGTCTCCGTCCCTTTTCCGCTGCTTCCCTTCTTTTTTGCACCCTTGCCTTTCAAGGACCTCAGGTTTTTCTCTTTCATGTAACCTCCGCTTTGACCCTTTCTTGGCAGTCCTCTCCCAGAAGAAAAGGAAATGTGTTTTCTATTCCTCTTGGGATTACTCAGTGTTGTTGACCGCGCGGTTGCTAAGGAAACAGTTACTAGGCGACGGGAAAATGGAAGGCAGCCTTGCCAACCAGGTTTCCTCTCATCCCTTCTGCCTGAGAGATTCATGAGGAAAGCCCTGTAGGTCTAGAAATAAATACGTGAAAACTGCATTCCCTAAAACATTTTCCTCTCTCTTTGTATATTTGGAGAGAAAAGGGTCTGGAGTCCAAAGCGAGGCTACTGCGCAGGCGTACCCAGTGGCTACCAGCCAGCAGTCCCAGCCGGGACCAGGGAGGGAACAAGGAGCCGAGAAGGGGCGGGCCCGAGGGGCCCCGGGCGGAGCCGGCGTAGTCACGTGCCTGACGCAGCGGCCCGGGCTCCACGGCGGAGCGCGGCGTGCAGGTCTGCGCAGGCGCGGGAGGCAGCGGCGGCGGGGCCTGTGGGCGAGTGCTGGGGTGGGGGGTTTCGTGTATGGAGGCGCACCTGGGGGCTGGTGGAGGCTTATTTCCTTTTCCCTTCTTTCCCCCCGGCTTCTCAGTGTGATTTTCTTGGTGAGTTTGTAGAGGAGAAAGAAAGGGAGACCAGAGTCCAGTCCCGTTCTCATCGCATGCTTTCGGCTCTCCAGGCCTCCGCCACCTGTGAGAGTGAGCGGTACCGGCCCGCCCGGCACCCTCCACCCGCAGAAGCAGGCTTTGGGGGAGCCCTGGGATTTTGGCCCTTGTTTTGATTTTTTTTTTTAATGCATCTTGGGAAACGGTTTCTTCCGTTTTTGAGCCGTTCGATTTTTCCGTTAATCTGCGGGTGCACATGTGACTACCGGTATTTTGGCCATAGGAAGGAGGACAGTAGGCGGTGTCGGTCCGCTTCGGAGAAGCCGAGCTGCCCAGGGATTTAGAGGCGCCCGTAGAGGAGGAGTTGGCTGCCCGCTTCCCGTAACCTGGAGCGACACTTGCATTTAAGCCGAAGTCCTGCAGCTCCGAGCTGGAAGGCTCTGTTGAATGTGTAGATGTTTACTTGGAGCTCACAAAATTTCATTACAGAAGGATAAATGTAGTTTTTCTTAACCTTTTTGAACAGATTCTAATTCTTATTCTAGGCCATTGAACAGGCATTTTTTGCAAGAATGACCTCTACAGGGATGTATGCTCCTGAGTCCTTCACATCAGATTGGGTTTCCATTTCCAAAATATTTTAAACAAAACGATTTAGATGTGGGTTTCGATCTAGATCTATTTAATACCACTTTGTCCTTTTGTTTTCCTTTCAGTGTGTTGCTTTTTTCCCCGCCTTCGGTAGCCTATATAGAGAGAATATTTTGGGGTCACTGAATACACTAGCTAGAATTTTTTAACTGAGGACTTAATGGAATAATGCTATTATGTAAGTGCATGGTTGCTGGCCAGGGTTTTAAAAAAATTTCCTGCTGGTCTTGTTGAATTCGAATTTAGGGCCTCAGGCAAGGTAGCCTGATGATCTGCCCAGCCCAGCCACAAGGGTTCTAATTTGAAGGAATATTGGGAACTGTTTATGTAAATCCAGTAATTGCTAGAGCCCATAAAAGGCAGAGTATGATTTCCACAGTCAGCAGTAATTGGCCTTAGCAATCCTTGATTTCCTGGCGTTACGGAAGTAAAATAACTTCACTGATGTCAGTACTATATACTTGTGTTTTTAGAAAAAGTAGCATTTGCTTTAACACTGTATATTGAGTTTATATAACGATGAAGCTGTTAAAATTATTTGGAAAGGTTTAACCATTTGGTCTGAAATTCTGCTTGCCTTTGAAACTATGTTTAAACCAAATACACTTTTAAAAAATAATTTTCTCGGAAACTTGGCCATACTGCTCAAGAAAATGCAGATGACCAAAACAAACCAACACTGTGACTGCAGGAAATTAGGAATAATGTATCTCTCAGGGATCAGCAGACTTTGTATAAATGGCTCTAAATATTTTAGGGCTTGGCAGGCTAGGTGATTTCTTGTCACAGCTATTAAGCTCTCCCATTCTCCCCCTAAAATGTTGCTACAGACAATACTGAACAAATGGACAGATGAATCCACAAACGAACAAGTTTTGTTTCAGTGAAATTTAACTTATAACAGGATTACAGAACCAGTTTGTTTGCACAGACCTCCCAGAATAAATGGTATACACAGTATTGTACATAAGCAAGTTAGGGTTTTTGTTTTGCTAAAGATTATTTTAATCTACTTAAACACATGTCGACTGGGAAATAAGTGGAAGGAAGATAACCACTTACAAGTGCTTTGAAATATTTTAATGTTACAGAATTGAGAATAAAAGTTTTTCAGTTAAATACTTGAGACCATTAGGATATCAATAGTGAACAACAAGAAAAGCTTACCTGTCTTTGATATTAAGACATGTAAAGACATATAAAGACAAGTGTCTTATATGAAAAATTATGATTTTGGTTGCTGTAGCATGGTCTTTTTTATACTCTACTTGGCAGTTTCTGGGGAAGTGGATGAGGGCTTTTAGAGTGGATTGGAGATTAGTAATAGCGAGCTTCTCCTGTACTTTGCTAGTTTATGTCCTGGTCCGCTAGTGAGTTATTTATTTATTTTGGTATCAGGAATTGAACTCAGGACTATGAACTTGCCAGGTGGGCACTGTTCTACTGAACTAAATCCCTGGCCTACATTTTTATTATTTACTGAATAGCAGTTTATTGCCATCAAAGTGCAATAATTAAAAAAAATTAAGCCTCAGAATAGCTTTATAAGGTACTAAGTTAGATCTAGGCAGTCACTTTTCCCAGAAATTTAAAATGAGATTTTTTAAATATAGGATAGATTTTTTTTAATAAGTTCATTTAACGATATTCAGTTCTTGTGAAATAGTTTTCTAAGTGTAGCATGTTGTATTTTACTTTGGAAAGGCATGTAATAGCAATCAGGTTTTTTTTTTTTTTTTTTTTTTTTGTGTGTGTGTGTGTCTTTTTGAGACAGGGTCTTGCTATGCAGTTCAGGCTGGCCTTGAACTTATTTTGTACCCCAGGCTGGTCTTGAACTTGCAAGGATCTTCCTGCCTAGCCTCTGGAGTGCTGGAATTACAATGTGTGCTACCTTCCTCAGCTATTAAATATTTTAAATTGGTGGCAAATATCAAATAATTTTGACTGTAAGCACTTTGTGGATTCCTCAGATTTGAAAATGAGATAATTTTATGGTAAACTAAAAAATTTATATAAATCACTTTGGAAGAAATTGATACATGTTATAGAGTAAAATTTTGCTTATCATCTAGTGATAACGCAGTTGCAAAAAGATTGTGATTGTGGTACATGCCTGTAATCCCAGAACTCAAGAAGCTGAGGCAGGAGGATCACTGAGTTTGAGGCCAGCCTGCGCTGAAGACCAGCCTGAACTACATAGCCAAAAAGACAAAAAAAAAAAAAAAAAAAAAAAAAAAAAATTAATAGCTTTCATTTTAAATGTGAAAACATTTTAAAAATGGTATTTATACTTTTTTTCCTCTTACATTTTGTATTTAGTTTTGACAGCTTGTGACAGAAAAATTGTCAGATCTTGTCCAGTGATGTACATGGTGCCTGGGAACACTACACAATATCTTTGTACTTGAATATGTTCAATTTGACATTCTCTTTTTGTTTTTAAAGTTCTAGCTGTGATACTGACACATCATTGTTTTATCTATCTATTTGAATGGCAAGTATCTTAGAAGGATTTCATTGGAATTAGCAGGTCAGAAAGTAATACATATATAAGAAGTGATCAACAGGGAAGCTTATTTAGAAATTTGATGGATAATGGGGTTACAGAAGTCTTTCATTGTATGTAGTTAGTATAACTCAAATACTTTTATAGAGAACTTGTTTTACAGAAAATGCTTGAGAACATTAGTGATACCATGAAACATGATTACATGGTCAAGAAATTTGCTCTTTTCCCACATTTTTTATTAGTATGCATTGTTATAGAGATAAATGTTTCATTTTTGCAGGTTTGTACATGCACACACATGCCTTTAGTTACTTCCTTCATATTGATTCCCATAGTGGGTGTACTAATTTTGTCTTTTTTCATGACTATTCTGTACTAGAAAGCATTAATGTTAATGAAAATAATTTAACAAAATAGCTTTTAATAAAAGGAAAATGACAGAGTGGATTCTCATTCTTAATAGACTGCACATTTGTGATCTTACTACCATTTATTTGTAACTCCAAACCAACACTCAGTAACACTTTTGCAGTTGTTCATGGCTCTGTGCACAGGAGTAAAAAGCTCCAGTACCCCAATCCCCGTGCTTGCTTTCCACCTGAGTTCAAAGGGGACGGCTCTCCCTTCTTGTTTTATCTCAAACTAAATGAGCATCCTTCTCACCTTTTTTCATGTTACTGGTTTTTATATTTTTGGCTTTTAATGGGTGATTGAGCTGTTTAAAACTCTGTGAGCTGCATGCTTAAGTGTTGTGTAGTGTTCCCAGCACAAGAAAGCTGTGATGTGCTTTGTAGAGAAAATAGGTGGTTAGAGGAGCTTCCCTGAGACATGTTATAATGCTGTTGGTTGTGAGTTCATAGTAATGAGCAGTATTTTAATCACAGATGCACATACAGGTTATTGATGGTTTGGCAAAAACTGTGACCTGAGGCTCATATAAACCTAACCCAATTTTCTGCCTAGGAATGATGGTTCAATAGATACTGATTAATCTTTTGAATAATAGATATTGAATAGAATATCTAGAATAATAGATACTGAATAGAATTGAATAATAGATATTGAATAGAATTCAATAGAATTAATCTATTGAATAATAGATATTGATTAATGATGGTGGAGAGTCTATAGTGCATAACTATTTTGAATAATGAAACTATTATCTCATAAGTAAAAGCTTAATTCAGATAAATTTTACATACCAGAGAATCATCCCACATTTTGTCCTTTGGTTTACTTCAAATAGATCTGAGTATAAAAGGCTCTAAAAATAATCTGGCTAATGGTTGCAAAATAAAATGTAATGTGTAGCTTAAAAATAGAATTCATCCTTTTTTCTTTAGAAGTAATGAGATGATTTGTTACGTATTACAGCACTTAACTGTCTTTTGCTAGTCAAAGGAAGATTTTTGTGATGAAATAATAGAGATAAAGAATTTATAATTGAATTGACATAATTTTCTCTTTAATGCGTATGTATTTTGCTCCTCCAAAGTCTTGAAAAAAGGAAATGAGATAAAATTTAAGGTAAGAGGGTGTAAGGGAAGTAAGATAAAATACACTAGGTAAAATTAACACATTAGCAATCTTTTTATTCTTAATAGTGTTAATGTTCAGTGTTGTAGCAACCAGTATAAAGTACAATAAAAAAGATTCAATATATAAAAACAAACCAGTTACTCAGATAATGTGCAATCATTACTGACAGATCAGAAAAAAAAAGGTATGTATTGTGAAGAAGACATTCTAATGGTATAAGCAAAAGCCTGCTGAATAGGTTAATCAGATTGTGTCACCCAGGGGTGAACACTGCTACTTTTTAAAATGAATAAACCAAACCATTAAAAAATATGCCTAACCTTGTGTCTGGATTGTCTGATTCAGTTTTTGGGTTCTTAGCCCTTGTCACTGAGCCATCATAGATGGATGGTTGAATGGATGGATGGATGGATGGATAGATAGATAAAAGATACATTTAGGGCTAACCACTGTGATGTGTTTTGAATTTATTCATTAGCAAAGAGGTAGCTGTGTATGAAAGATGCTTTATTTATGTTCTTTATACCAAGATATTTTATAAATACCATTTAGTGATTCAGGTAGATAAGATGCCTAAAGGAACACTCATTTCATAGCCTCATTGTGCTGACTCTCCCTCTGGTCTTTGAACACACAGTTAAAAATATTAGGCATCATTGTGAAAGGTTTGATTTATTTGGTTATATTGTCCTTTATTGCTCAATGGTAGAAGTACCTTCAGTATTGGTTAGTAAAGGTCTGTCCTGTGATGAGATATATATTTTAAAAGCCCAGTATCTTTATCTTTCAATAATAGATTTGAGGAAACATGAAAATAATATATTTCTCTTTTAAAAATGTTAGATGGATTTTAAATAATTATTATATGTATAGAATTTTGTGGTATTATGTAGTTATAATTAACTTGAAGTTTTTTGCATTTTAGATTTACAAGTTTTGCAAACATTGGGTTGCTTCAGAATCAACAAACTCTTCATGGAGATTGGTTCCTGTATGTCTTACTTAGAAGTCATTGGAGTTAAGCACAGCATATATGAGCTGAAAAGTCAAACAAGGAAATGAATCACATCTTTTGACAGTTCTAAGTTTACTTGTAAGTTAAATTCAGAGTTAGCTTAAAATGGTTTAAACCTTTAATTACAAAACAACCTAATAACAGATAATTAGGAATGCATAATTCAAAGTTTTCATAACATTGGAACATACCGCTTAATATGTGATATGATATGGTTTCATATTCTGTTAGAATAGGTGAAAAACTCTACTTTGTAAAGTTACTTCAGCCAATTTAAATGATTATTACAGCAGTTATTATATTGCATTGTGTCATTGGAAGCCTTCCTGAGTTTCTTGCCTTTCTACAGTCTGGAATTTGAATTAAATCCTACCACTGAAGATGTTTATATGAACAGAAACAAAAGCAGTGGCCCATACTGATAAATTTACAGCTTTTAATCTGTTATTGTTAATTTTTCTTGCCTATTTGCATAATACATCTTTTGCTTTGGCTTTGTAAAGATTTGAGTATGAATGATACATAAGCATAATTCCTAACAATTCTTGTAAAAGGCATATAGAAAAAAAAGTCATACCTTGTCCTACAGTTTAGGAGATTATCTAAGAATTCTATAAAGAAGTATGTTCTTTAATTTTAGTTTCTTGCTCTGAATTCTATAGCCAAGATAGTCAGGGAATTAATAAGAAATATATATAATCTTGATATACTCATATAACTAAAAATGAGTATTACAAATATATTGAGTAATTAGCACTCCAACTCCAAATTTCTTATATCTTACAAACCAAACCAAAAACCCTAAAACAACTTTTATTATAGTATCTCAGAAGTGAATTGGATTTGGTATGAATTTTTGAGAATCTACACAGATGACATTTTCTGAATGTGTTTTTCATTGTTTATAATGATTTTTTTGTGGTGCTAGGGGTCATATTTTTGAAAGTTTTGGTTTTTCAGTGTCTTGAGATTTGAAAAAGATATTAAAAATAATATTTGGAAAAGTTTTAAGCAGTTTGATTTATGAGCATGATTATATTCAATCCTATCAGAATTTTAACAGTTTGTTGAAATTAGTAACCATATGTCTTTGTTTTTGTGTCTTGAAAAGGGCTAAAGCCAGTTCTTAAATTGGCTTGGCAGAAAAGTGAAAAAGAAGATGCTCCACTTTAACCGATGTCGGCATCTGAAACAGATCACACAGAAATGTTTTTCTGATACACGTGTTAAAACGGGTAAACATGCACTATTTCTTTCAAGAAGCTCTGTACTTACAGAATTCAGGAAGTCATGGCATTCAACCCACTCTCTTGATGGAGACGAAAACATTGTCCTAATGGGAGCTCCTGGTGCTGGGAAAACAACAGTGGGCCCGAATATTAGGTCAGAAACTAGGTCGTTGTGTCATAGATGTGGACAATGATATCCTTGAAAAAGCCTGGAATATGAGTGTATCTGACAAATTACAGGATGTTGGTGATGAGCAATTTTTAGAAGAGGAAGGAAAAGCTGTGTTAAATGTCTTTGCCTTTGGAAGTGTCATTTCCCTTACCGAATCTAATCCCATGCATGAGGCTAGCATGTGGCATCTGAAGAAAAATGGAATAATTGTATATCTGGATGTACCTGTAGTAGATATAATTAGTCGTCTAAAATTAATGCAGGTAGATAGGATTGTAGGTTATAATTATGAAACACCTATAACAGACTTACTTAAACTTAGAAGGCAGTATTATAAAAAGTGGTATGATACTCGAGTTTTTTGTGAAAGTGGGGCTTCCCCAGAGGAGGTAACTGACAAAGTGCTTAGTGCAGTTAAAAGATACCAAGATGTTGACTCAGAAACATTCATTTCCACAAGGTACTTCTCTTCTAAAGACCGTGAACAGAAAGTTTCAACAAAATTCTTCAGTGAAGCTGTGATTGAGGGCTTAGCTTCTGATGGTGGACTCTTTGTTCCTGAGAAAGAGTTTCCAAAATTAAGCTCTAAGGAGTGGAAAAGCCTTGTAGGAGCAACCTACACAGAAAGGGCACAGATAGTGTTGGAAAGGTGTATACATCCTGCGGACATACCTGCGGCCAGATTGGGAGAAATGATTGAAATTGCTTATGGGGAAAACTTCACCTGTTCAAAAATTGCCCCTGTCAGACATCTTTCAGGCAACCAATTCATCCTGGAGTTGTTTCATGGGCCAACAGGATCATTTAAAGATTTGTCTTTACAGCTTATGCCTCATATTTTTGCACACTGTATTCCCCCAAGTTGCAATTATATGATACTTGCAGCTACTTCAGGAGACACAGGGAGTGCAGTCTTAAATGGTTTCAGTCGCCTTAATAAGAATGAGAAGCAGAGAATAGCTGTGGTCACATTTTTCCCTGAGAATGGAGTAAGCGATTTTCAAAAAGCACAAATTGTTGGTAGTCAGAAAGAAAATGGATGGGCAGTGGGTGTCTCATCAGATTTTGATTTTTGTCAGACAGCTATAAAAAGAATTTTTAATGATTCTGATTTTACTGGCTTTCTGACTGTGGAATATGGAACAATCTTAAGTTCAGCTAATTCCATAAACTGGGGCCGACTGCTTCCTCAGGTAGTGTATCATGCTTCTGCATATCTTGATCTTGTTAACCAAGGATTTATTTCCTTTGGAAGCCCAGTAGATGTCTGTATTCCCACAGGAAACTTTGGTAACATACTAGCAGCAGTGTATGCCAAAATGATGGGAATCCCTATTCGAAAATTTATTTGTGCCTCTAATCAGAACCATGTTTTGACTGATTTTATAAAAACAGGGCATTATGACCTACGGGAAAGGAAATTAGTGCAGTCCTTTTCTCCATCAATAGATATTCTCAAGTCTTCCAACTTGGAGCGACATTTACATTTGGTGGCTAATAAAGATGGGCAATTAATGACAAAACTATTTAGTCAGTTAGAAAATCAACATCACTTTCAAATAGAAAAGATTCTGGTTGAGAAACTTCAGCAGGATTTTGTAGCTGACTGGTGCTCTGAGGGAGAATGCCTGGCAACTATTAACTCCACCTACAATACTTCAGGGTACATTTTGGATCCACACACTGCTGTTGCAAAATCGGTTGCAGACAGAATGCAGGATAAAACTTGCCCGGTGATTGTCTCATCTACAGCTCATTATTCCAAGTTTGCACCTGTTATAATGCAGGCTTTAAAGATTAAAGAAATCAACCAGATTTCATCAAGTCAACTTTATTTACTGGGATCATATAATGCATTACCTCCACCACATGAGGCTTTACTGGAAAGAACAAAACAACAAGAAAAGATGGACTATCAGGTTTGTGTAGCTGATATGAATGTCCTCAAGAGACAGGTGGAAAAAATAGTCCAAAAGCAATTTTTAGGAAAGGTTTCATAGTAGAATATTATGGTAATAAGCATGCAGTAATAAATCTGAGAAGTTGATTTGTAGTACAAGTGTTTTTTAACATCATATATGTATATCTGTTAATGGCCTAGTCTCTGAGACTGATCATATATCTACATTGTACCTTTCTAGGTCCTTAATCTAGAAATGACAAACACTGGCATAGTTTATGAGACCTTTGCTGTCATGCTTTGTGCTTATAAGAATTTTACCAGTTTTTACTCTCTAACCCCAATTTGTAAGAGCACAAAAATATCTGGTATTCAATTTGGTAATTAAAAATGTTTAAGCACAGTTGTTAAGTACTATAGCAGAAACCACTTACTATTTCTCTATTGACTAGAAAATGAATTTACTTCTCAAAACAACTAATTTGTAGTAGTAAACTCATTAGTTAACATTAGAGCTAGTGTTTTTAACTCTTCATACTCCATTTTGAATTACAGTTATGTGTTTCCCACATTGTCCAAATTAGGTAAGTGTCCTGTCTTTCATTTTTGGATGCATAAATTAGGATGACAAAGTTTAAAAATCAAGACAATTAAATACAGGATATAATAGTCATGTAGAACTGCTTAGTAGTAGATTCAGAAATAAAACCACCTATTTCAAGAGGAAAGCTTTCCAAAATTAAGAGTGTCTTAATAAAGCATATATGTACAGTAGTTGCAGACAGCGCCTCCTGTATTTGAAATCCATTCCTATATAACTTGTCTAATACCTGTCTCTTCAGTGAACATTTGGGAACTTAAGTTCATGCAAAGCAATGTATGATGTATTACTTATTAAATTAATAATGATTTTAAGTGTAATTTATATTTGTGAATTTACTAGATGTTGTATTTCTGAATTGAAGATTGTCACTGGAAGGACCCATTAGTGTAATAGGCTACTCTCAACCACAAGATGGCATTCCTGACATAATTTGTCATTGCTGATAGCAATCTGCTTCATTTTCTAGGAGAACCATATGAAGGAATAATGCAATGATGAAAATAATTTAATAGTTTTAATAAGGAACAGGTTTTTTTTAAAAGAAAATTTAAACCATTCATATGTTAATATTAAATTTCTGGCTTAGCTTTTAATATTAGTTCTAAAGTAGTAAATTGGAAAAATAGAAGCAGTTATAAGAAAATAATATTAAAAAAATAAAAGTTCTAGACATATTGATGTACTTTATCATTTAAGGCTATTTCAGTGGATGATACATCTAGAAAATGAATCTAAATGGGAGAGGCTGTGTTTTTAAAAAGATTATTTTTGCCCTCAGGAACTATAGTTAATGAGAACACAAAATCATATGTACAACACAAAACAGTTATTGCAAGATAGGATGTGAGTGAAAAGTGATACAGGTTAGTGCTGTGAAACTTAAAAGGATTGCTATGGAATGACCTGAACGTATTCCACAAAGGACATTGATCTTTAGGTGAGGCTTGAAGAGGGGAAATTTTTAAGGGTAAAGGAAGGAGGAAAACATTTTAGGGAGATGCCCTGGTAGTAGGGGAGGTAAAATGTTGGAGTCCACCTGCATTTGTGATCAGTTCATTCTCTTCATTGTCCAAATGGTCATCCTATGTCTTGTTTTCTCAGAGCCAACTTGGTTTTTCCCTCTCAGCAAATAACCTTGCTCCATTGGAGAGGGATGAGTTACCATATTGCTCACTTCCACAACTGTGTAAATCTGCACTGTAAGCATCCCTTCCTCTTTGACTGAATTAGGCAGTAGGTTTTCAAAGGCCTTGTATCCTGTTCTCTTTAACCAACTCTACTTTATCTACCTCCTCTCCTGTTCAACTTTTCCTCTCCAATGGGGCTTCCTTTTTTGTGGCATTTGGATGCTGTCTTCATAGTTTAAAAGCATAAAGAGCAAAACTCTTTCTGAACACCCCCATCTTGCCTTATCTACTTTATGCCCCAGTCAAGATTAAACTATATGAAGACTTGTCCCCCTACATGCATTCCACTTATTCCATGTACACTTAAGGATGAATACTAAATACCTAAGTGCTCACCACCTCCTGAGTGGTAAAGAATAGAGTGTTGCTCAGGCGTTTGGTTCCTGCTGTGGTTCTGCTCTGATTACACTGGCCTGTCTGCTAGAGATAACCATTATTGTAAATTTACTATTAGTCATTCCCTTTTTAGACTTTGAATTTTATATAAATGGAATCAAATGGTATGATTCCATGACCTGTTTCTTTTGCTCAGAAACTTTAAAATGAAGTCAGCCAGACGAATTAAGCCATATTTCGTTGATTTTATTAATATTGTATAAGTATCTCAATGTATCCACTTACCAGATAGTGGATATTTATTAAATTTTTATCTGTACTTGTATCCAATAGATTGTAAAATATGTGTGGCAGGTCAGTGAATATGGACTTTGAATCACTGGATTCTGGTATCATAAAGTTTTGATATCTTCACATTAAAAATTGTAGGTTTATGAAATGAAAATGCCAAATTTTTATAATTTCTAACTTTTTATCTTTGAAATTATCTTACAATTTAAATATTTTAAGTTTGTAATCTTTGAATAGCAAATAAGATTTTAAAGTTACAATTTTGGAAATCAGAATGTTCAAAGTAGAGTTAAGATATGGGAAGGTGTGATACTTTAGAAGTGAATAGCAGTTCACTTTCAGAAACAATCATGGATAACATACATTGTTTCTCCCACAAAATGATTTACAAACACTATGTAATTCATACTACTTACTTAAAAAAAGAAAAGAATAGAAAAAGCAGTCATAATACACATCCAAACCCAAGCGACTGTTTTTCATGTGTGCATCAACCCTTGGAAACAACACTGCCCTGGTTTTGTCCTCAGCCATGAACATGAGTCAGATGCACAGGGAAACACTTCTGGGCACTGCAGCCACCAAAATCAGCTTTACATCTTTGAGACTTTAAAAACAAGTAGACTTCTTAAAAAACAGGTTTTCTGAAAGTTGCCGGTGTCATGGAATAGGGACAGCACAAAGATCAAAGTGAAACAAAAGCTGTTTTGATGAGAGCCCAACATCAAGAACTTGGTATTGCTCCCAATAAAAAGATGCTTTAGCAAATTAGCTGTCTGTGTTTTTAAATTCAGTGTTTTATCTGTTTCTGAATTAAGATTTTTGTTATCTAATTGGTACTAAAAATTACTTTGAGAAACCACTCCACTGGAGTCTTACATAGTGGTACTACTTAAGCCATTGACGTCTGTTGAGGCCTTAATGTCCTATAAAATGCAGAGTTGTAAATGGCAGGTAATTTTCAAATATTAGAGGAGTTTATAATTTGAAATTGACTCATAGTGGATTTTTGTTTCAGTGAAAAAATTCTTATGGTGAATATTCCTAAAATAAAAGTTTAATACCTTATGAGAGTAAACAAAAGCTTGTGAGGGTTTTTGCTTGTTTTTAAAGATATACTTTATTGCTGTTTTTCAAAATGGGAACTTCAAGGTAGATATTCTAGAGCACAAGAGAAATGGCTAAGATAAGAAAAGTGTCTCTAGGAACCATTTTGAACAATTAGGAGAAGTTAAAAAGAAACTGAACTTTTTTTGGTGTTCTTTAGTTAAGGCACAAATATCAATGTGCTGATTTTTTTTTTTTTTTTTTTTTTTTTTTTGAGATAGGGCCTTGCTCTGTAATTCAGACTGGCTTGAACTTACTCTATACCAGGCTGAATTTGAGCTCATGGCAGTCCTCCTGCCTCAGAGTCTTGAGTGTTGGCATTAAAGGTGTGTGCCCCTGTGCCTGGCACAGTGTGTTAATTTTTAATGACTAATTTTGTTTCAGTTAGGCTTATATTCATGATGACCTTAAAATTTAATTTGTAACTAATAGGTATTTTTTTTTGCCTCAAACCATGTAAAGAAACACTATTTGAAGCATCCTTGGCAACACATAGCCCGTGTTTGCAATTCATGTACAGTGTATCATATTTTTCCTCCATCAACCTCAAAAGTGAATTGGCTTTTATTTTTCTTAGCTAATTTTAGTGCCAGTGTCTGTAAGATTCTGTTGATTATAATTGTAGAAAAATTGTAGAACTTGTATAAATAAGCTGGTCATGGGTTCAGAAGTAGACGGGTGGTGGGGTGAGATTACCTGGTACTAAAAGGCGGTCTTTGATTTTCATAGACTAGGTGGATATAATAATTGTATATGACCTATTTTGACAAAGAAATGACTTTTTAAATTTTCTACTATAGGAAACAATATAGTGTTTACGTTTTTATTGAAAGATTTTATGTTTTATACAAATTGGGTCTTTTCTGGATATCTGTATCCTTTTTTAATTATGTACAGTAGATAGGCAATACTGAAAATTTGCTCCATTCTTTGTAGATTGCACAGTTCAGCACTGTTGATTTTATTCATGTTGCTGAGTAATGTAGAGCTCATTTGTCAAGCTGGAACTGCATCCATTAAAAAACTTCCCATTCCCTGCTGTCCCCAGCCCCAGCCACCATTGTTCTGCTTTCTATTCTGTGGATTCACAAGTAGAATCTCAGTGTTTACCTTTCTGTGACTGATTTATTTAACACCATTGTGTCCTCTAGGTTCATGCGTGTTACAATACATTTGTTTATTTATGGAATTTGAATTGCTTGCACATTTTGGTTACAGTGGATAATACTGTGATGTACACTGTTATACCAACGCACACATACTCTCAAGACTCTGCTTTCAATTTTCTTGCTTATATACCCTACGTGGAGTTGTTGAGTAATTCTATAATTCAATTGATTTGATAAATTCTTCACAAACTTTCTGCCAGATGAACAGGTGTTAACAATTCTAAATTCATATGTAATATAGCAATTTTATCTTTTATTGAATTTCCTTTTGGAACCATAATATACCATTTTAAGGCATAGTAGTATGAAGTTTCTGACTATAGAAGACTTTAGAAGTGCATGGCCTGAATTCATTTATTTAATATGTGTACATGTGAATCTAACTACTTATATATCGAAAGATGAACATATAACTAGATATGCATGCATACAAACACATAAGATGAATAAGCATATAGTCACTTAAATATGTTAGGAAAAGAATTAGTAATTCCAAATAAAAATTTAAGACCAAAGGAAACTACCAAATAACATCACTGAAGTACATCATCAGAACTATATCTTATCTATGGATAAAAGAGGTAAAAACTGGAAATACTCTCTGAAAATCAATTGACAAGTTATTAGAAATATAACTTGTAATACTGTATTACTCATCAAAATTTATAATAAATTTATGTATTCACATACACTTTTTAAAAAGCCACTTGATAGTGCGCTGAATATGTGTTACATGACTAATCTTAACCATTCTAAAATTGGAAAATTTTGGAGTCTAAAATACATTTATCCTATACATTCAGATCAGCGGTTGGGAACTGATTTATTTTAGCATAAGATCTTCCAATATTTAGTGGAAAATATGTGGAAGGAAATAGTACTTTTCTTCATTTTAATTGGTCATTAAAATGGTCCAGCTGTCCAGTTTAACAAAATTTCAGATTATATTTGTTTTGAATTTTACAAGGCTGAGGGCAAGCAGCCAAAATTTTTGAAAATTTTATTTGCCCTTGGTATTACTTTTTTTCTGGAACTATTTCTCTAATTTTCTTGAGATTTTAAGCATAATTGGTTGACAAGGTAGTTAAGCAACTGCCAAAATCAACATGAGTAATTTATCTGAATATATACCACTTGTAAAGTTCTTTATCAAAATATAGTGCAATTCTAAAAGATACTAGTAGCCTTTTATTTTCATAAAATTTGTATATTTTCCAGAAAAAGCTGTCAGTTCAAAAGATACCCCCTTATCCATTAAATACTATAGTATGCTATGAAGAAACAAAACATCTTTCAAGAAAAATTGAGTATAGCAATATTTTGCTTGCAGCAAAAAGGAAATACTAGTTTAAATCAGATGTAAAATTTATTTTACTCACTAAAAGCAGTACCAACCAAGATGAAATTTTGGGAAGAAAACAAAGCTCAATGAGCCTTTAAAATTTGCAGGTCATTTGTCAAAGGGGTTAAAAAAAACTTTATAATTTTGAAAATTATACATTTTGTGATTTTTTCCAAGAACTCAGATGATAGATATAGAAAAAAAGAGGTTTAGAAATTAGTTTTGTCTGTGTACAGAGTTGATCAAATTTAAGGTCCCATCTTCTGCTAATTATAAGAAAATACACAAGCTAGAATTTAAACTTATTGACCTGTATAAACTTTGCTAATGATCTCAGATTTGGTATTCATTTCTACAAAACTGTGTCTAAGAAATGCCATGAAGTCAGTAGTTTACGTAATACATGTGAAGTCAAACCAAAGAGAGAAGGGTAATGTTAAGGGCTTTCCTACTCATGTTTAGCTATACCTTTTCCACAATAAAGGACAGAATCTTAGTGGAAAAAAATCTTTCTGCTTTGCTTTTTACGTCATTCTGAGCAATACTAGATAAATCTTCCTGTTTGGGTGACAGCTCACTACACTTCATGTTTATACACTTTGGTTGAAAATTTTCAAATTTGTTGCAAAATGAGTCATAGGAAAGGTCCTTGGAAAGTTTATGGAGAACTTAGACAAGTAATTCAACTTGTAATCTAGTGCAGTAATTGTGATCCAGACCAGACAGAAATATAACATGTCCTTTGAAAACGAATTGAATACCAGTGCCCTTTCAAAGAATAGTATTCATTTCCATCTTTGAAGAGAGATTACACTTCTTCATAGATCTGTTGTACAAACAGTGCTTGGACAGTGGAAGGGACATCTGATACAGTTTATATCTAGATATTCTCCCAAAGCCTCACGTACCCATAGGTGCAGCTGGATCATAAGTGTGTGGTACTGGATTAAGGGCATGATAACTAGATTAGTCTACTGGTTGGTTTAGCTGAGTATGGATGATGGGAAGTCCATCCTTGGTGTGAGTCATGCAAACCAATAGGCTTCTAGCCTGAATGGAATAGAAAGGGAAACGTTCCTGCTGCGTTTTTCTGCCTGCCTTGCCAGGGACTGCTGCTCCACTGCTCTGCCCCTCTGCCACGCTGCCCTGCCTTGGAGTCAGCTGTGGACTGAAACCTCTACAAACTGTAGATTAAACCTGTCCTCCTTGACTTCTGGATGTTGGATATTTTGTCCCTGTAAAGAGAAAGTAAATATCTCAGGCTGTTGTCTCCTAAAGCAACTCTCATATTGTATCTAGCAAAAAAGACCACACAAAACAAACTTAGCCCTTTTGAAAGGAAGTTTAGAGTTTATTTATAATTTCAATATTCCCATGTCATTTTAACCTTTTCATTCCTAGGAGTTTGTTCTGCTAGTCCTTCTATTCGCAGTGTTCCTAATAGTATTTGTGTTCTTGAGGATTGGTGTCATGAACATTTGCCTGATGCTTCTCTAATCCAATTCTAGTTATAATTTTATACTTGAGGCTATGGGGTGAGGCCCAATGAGAAAGACATCATACTCAGAGATTGAAGAAGGTATTCTAGAGGAAGTGATCACATAGCCAAAATTTGGAAAATCAAGAGAGAGTTACCTAGGCTAATTGGTGGCCAGAAGGAACAGCATAACATGGAGAGTAGTATATATTGTTCAGTTTGCCTGTATCTGTGTGGGGTTGTGAAGATGCAACTATAAAATCAGGCAGGGCCCATGAATTTACACCTTTGCTAAAACTGTGAAATATCACTGAAGAATTTTATGGAATACTATTAGATCGTGCTGGCTACTGGGTGGGGGTGAAGGAATTGGACCCATGAGCCGTAGAGCAATCATGAGGCCAGAGCATGGACAAATGGAACCAGAAATTAGTGGGTGGGTTCAAGAAATACTGAGGCTGTAGCTTTAGAGGGTTTTGGTGAAAAATTAGGTAAGATGAGCATAGAGAAAGATTCTGCCTCAGAACAATTCATGCTTTCACCATTCACAAACATAGAAAATATAGCAGATTTGATGGAGAATAGGGTAGGGAGGATGTCTTAGTTACTTTTTCTTGTTAGGCAATATGGTCACACAAAGTTAAAGGGTGAATGATTTATTTAGATCACAGCTTGTAGAGGTTTCAATCCATAATTGGCTGTCTCCAGGCAAGGCAGAGCACACAGGCATCACAGAAGAGGAAGAATTCATGGCAGGCAAAAGGTAGCAAAGCAACAAGGGGATGACCAAAGCCCTTTCTATATCTCATATCTTGTTTAGTCTACTCAGGTCATGTAGTAAATCGTTACTCCTAGCACCCTTTAACCTACTATTGCACCATGAATCAATCCCAGTGTCAAACACTGTATCCAGCCACCTCTGAAAAAGACCCCTCATATGACATTGGGGGGCCACATCTAGACACAAGCCATAACATTCTGCTCTTGG